ACCTGCTTACTACTCTATTGTTCGGCTTTAGTTGCCATGGCAGCAGAAGCAAGGCAGGAGAGGGCATATTTTTATGAACCCAGGGAAAAGTTCAATAAAACAATTACTCCAGGCTCTACTTCAGCTTCCCAAGGCTCCCTTTCTCTTTATCTTCTAAAGGCACCCGTCATTCTGGATGAAGGGTCCCTCTAACCCTGATATCATGACAGCCAATGACAAGTTTAATGAGCACATTTCTCAGAGAGATTCACATTCTAAAGAACGTGATATTAAAGCCACACGTTATTTTCGAAGACACATGTACTGCAAATCAGGAGGCAGAGGAATGTGGATAAAGCTCTGTGATTTCTCTATGAAGGAGGAGGTTGTCCCTGTAAGGAGAAAACTGATACGCAGAGCAGCTGGACCACATGAAGCACCATGGAAACACACCGTGGTGAAAGACTTGGCTGTTTCCATTATAAATAAGCAAGGGCCTGGACATTGCCTAAGACGCCATTCTGTGAGTTGCTGTCACTTCTGTCACTGGGCAAATGTAGCAGGCTAAGACCTGCCTCACATGCAGCGATGGTGACTGTACCATTTCAAATTAAAAGTCTGAGCTTCTCAGTGATGTCCAAAGTGCTTTTCCTGTGGTCAGCAACTCCCAGAGCTTCTCAGGCCTTAAAATATGCATTGCATTCCTTGTTAGCAACGTGGTGAGGGACAACCAGAATGGAAACTTTAAACAATCTCTAATGCTCCCTGTCCTGGGAGCTCTGAAACTGCCAGACTGGAAAAGAGGAAGCAGTTATGATGAGAATATTTGAGTAAGATTATTGACTGACCTTGATCCTATGCATATATGTGAGGGATGCGTAGCTTGATCTTCTTATGGGACTAACAGTGAAAGCGGACCCTATTCCTTTGGGACCCTATTCCTCAGTCTGGGTTGCTTTGCTCAGTCTTAATAGAAGATGAAGTGCTTAGTCTTACTACAACTTGATATGCCATGTTCTGTTGGTATCCATGGGAGGCCTGCACTCTCTGAAATAAAAATGAGGAGTAGATGTGGGGAGCAGAAAGAAAACTATTGGATGCTTGAATTTTCCATTAGTAATAGCCATTGTTGGAGTAGCAGAACTATGGCCCATAAGTCACTCTAATAAATTCCCTTTCTATGTCTATATCATCGATATTTATGAACTACTTTTACACTACCATATAGGTATGTAGGTAGGTAGATAGACAGAGAGACGGACAGACAGACAGATAGATAGATATAGGTATTTGTATATAATACTGCCAAATAGATAGATAGATGATAGATAAATAGGTATAGGTATTGATATATATGATATACATAATATATATAATCAATAGAATGAATTTATATGTGTGTATGCTTATATATATATATATAATTTCATCCTATTGATTACATTTCTCTAGAGCAGAGATTCTCAGTCTGTGGTTCATGACCCCTTTAGATATTGTATGACTCTTTCACAAGGGTTATCTAACCCATAGCAACACATGCATATTTATATTATATTTCATAACAGTAGTAAAATTACATTTGTGAAGTAGCAACAAAAGTAATTTTATTGTTGGAAGTCACCACAAAATGAGGAACTATATTAAAGGGCCAGAATGTTAGGAATGTTGAGAACCACTAGTCTAGAGAACTTGACTAATATTAGGATCTTAAGTTCTGGGAAACAACCAAAGGTGATAGTCATAGTTTATATTGTTTTGGGACTCTTATAGAGAACTCTAACCAAAGCATGAAGAGAAGTTTCTCATGCCTAGCTCTCGGATTTTAGTTAGAAATTCTATGACTCTTGAGAGAGCCATTATTACTAAATGTGGTGTAATTCTCTCTCTCTCTTTCTTTCTCTTTCTCTTTCTCTCTCTGTCTCCCTCTCTCTCTCTCTCTCTCTCTGCATCTAAGTAATGTTTATTAAATAATATGTTTCCCTATAATTTTAAAACATCCTTAGTGTAACTTAATTTTCTTTCCACCCTCTTCCTGTATATTACATTCTCTTCTTTAATTTCCAGTTTAATTTCCCTTCCTAGAACCTGTGTCCTACTGATCTCTATGACTTCTTCCCCCCTGAGTTTTAGGAAATTTTTTACACCATTGAAGCAAAGAGTTGTCAATTTTGCAGAATATTGATCTAGTGCTATAATAAGTAAAATAAATTCCTCCAACATTTTATTTCCTGTATATTTACAACTAGATTCAGTTATTTAAGTAACTTCATTAATAATTTTCTACTTAGAATTTTCTGCAGATAAAATGATACTTTTCTGGGTTATTTTGTCCTGTTTTTTTTTTTTTGACTACTTACTACTCTTTCACAAGAAGTATGAACATGAAAAATTAGGAAAGATGGAAATTTGTTTCTCAGTTTTGTACATAAAATCTATGCGATATAAAACTAAACTAATATCACATACTTTTCACATACTTGTATTTCCAAGTAGAATGTATAACCTTTGTGAAGAATTTTTGTTTCAAATGGTAGATGTAAGAGCGTTTTAGATTCATCATAGACATTGAAATGCTTCCCACACTCTAGGTAATTTTGAGTTATGTACAGGCAGCTCTTTTTGCTTTTTTAAAATTTTAAATTATATTTTGACAATTTTATATATGTATATAAACGATTTTGATCATGTTCTCCCCTTATTCACCTCTCCTTTCTTATCTACCTCATAATCCTGTGGACCTATTATTTTTCCCACCGCATTGCCCATATTTTACTGAACTTTTTATTATTCACAGAGTTTCAATAAGAATCCTTTATATATGCATGATTGTGAGGTTATTAATACATCAAGGATAATTTACCAGGGGTATATTACTGAAGAGAAATAAACCCCCTTTAGTGACCATTATCTGTACAATTAGTTGGGGGGCTCATTTGTCATCACACCATTCATTATAGAAAAATGATGTGCTTTTATTTTGTGCAGGATTTGGGTAGGTAATAATAGCTGCTTTGAATTTGTGAATGCAATAGCCATTCCACAACAATATTCACATCATCTACTCAAACCCTGGATATTACCTTCTTTCTATCCCCATGATTTTCCCTGAATCTTTTGTGGAAAAGGACAGGCTACAAATCTTTTTTTTCTAGGACTGAGCATAGAATAGTCACTTATTCACTGATTATTTATTGGTTATGAGCATCTCCATTAAATGATGTCCACTGCAGCAAGAAGTTAATCTAGGTAAGGCTGAGAACACAATTTAAGTTCATAAATATAAGTATTTAGAAAACAGTTTTACATGTCCATTTACCAAAACAGTAATTGGTTCCTCCTTAGGGTCTATGCTATGATTTTTTGAGAGATTTTGGCCAGATTTGACTCCACTTGTAGAGTGCATCTGAAATCTCAAAAAAAAAAATAGTGATTGGTTAGTCAACAACAGTCATGAGCCTATTGTACAAATGGGCACATCCTGACTGGTTGACCTGATATGTAGAGTTCATGGTCCACTGTAGAGCAAGTGCTCTGTTGACTTTTCTTGCATGGTACCCTATTCTCCAGAACTATTGAGGTTAACATATAGAAGGGAAGTTTTTGACTGGGTTCTAGCTTGATTTGTCTTCTTTAGAAGTAAACCATGGAACATCTTCAGAAATAGGGTCTTATCATCAAGTTCTGACCGACAACTAAGAGCAACTACAACATCTGGTGTTAGGGACACCTCTAAAAACTTTCTGATTAGCAGGTCATAGGGAAATAGCCAATGCCTATTGTTGGTCTTGTTGTTTAATTGTCCATGGATTCAAGTAGCAGCATTATCTACCAATGCAATTCTAATTATTTTACTTTAATTTTTAAGAATTAACCTGTAAGGTAACAGATTCCTGCAAGGAATTTCTATAAGCCCTCAGTTTTAGTTAAGCCTTCTGAAACCTCTCATGTTCCAATAAAAATATTAACATGTATAAAATATAAGCTAAACTTAATTATTGCCAAATTTCCTGTTGGTACTAGCGGTTGGGCTTAGGCCTCACATGTGTTAGTCAAGTGCTCCAACACTGTGCTACATCTCTTTGAGCTGCAAACTTATTAGGACTGTAGTCTAGCCTGTTGTTTTCAAAACTGTAGTTCAGTCTGCAGTTTAGGACTCCAGCTTATTTCAGTTCTTACAGAGCTGATTTCAGAATTCTTGGGAAACCCCAAACCTTGGAGATGATCTTTCGAAAGGTACTGCCTCTGATATTCAAATCAAAAAGAAGGACCCACAGAATACTAAACTTTGCTGATCATAACCCAAAGAAGAAAGCTAATTTTTATAACTATTGTCATATTGCCTCTCATGAAACCTTAAAAGTTAATGTTATGAATAAGTTATTAACACTAGTAAAAAATAATAAAATTTGTAGTCAGTTTGAATTCCCAGTGAGGCAATTATCTGCCTTGGCATTTCCAAAGTATTTTGAAAAGAATTAATGTTGTCAAGATTAGCCAAAATCACAGAAGAAAGAATATTATAGTAGAATGTAAGGTAGGTTATGGTTATTCAGATCTTGAAAAGATAATTATCCTATATCTATAAACCTTCTGATACCATTAAAAAATTATAAGATGTACTTAAACTTCTATAAAGTTTACTGTATAGATTTAGAGAATTGGTGAGAAGGAGAGAAGAAGGACGGTCCTTTTGAAGCTCTGCTGTCTACAAATCAGTATTAATTGACAGGTTTGTGCTCCATTAAGCATGTATCACATAGGAAATGCAAGGCCAGATTATAAGCATTTACTAATGTCACTTGTTAAATCAAAGCTTCATTGCATTCAGTCTTTTAAGGGAGATGACGTTCTCGTAGCTTGCTCTCTGACAAATTAACAGCAAGATGATGCAGCTTTTGTAGGATCAACAGAGAGGACTTGAACTATGTGAATAGAATATGTTAATGTTCGCAGACAGCTTTGCTAAACAGTGTGTTTTATAAACCTAATATTGTTTTATTAGCTTAATTTTCTATTTCCAGGTGTTTTCTTATACTGCTGACAAAGAAATTCGAACTGATGACTTGTGCCTGGATGTATCCAGACTCAATGGACCTGTAATCATGTTGAAATGCCACCATATGAGAGGAAATCAGCTATGGGAATATGATGCAGAGGTATGATGTTTGCTATGACTTACTTATTACTTAGCACTTAAACTCGGTTATTTCCTTTAGAAAAAAAAAACTAAAGAAGAAATGTATTTTAAAATGTATAATTATATTTAGATAACAATGGGGTGGCATAGCATTTAAATTGGATTTTGTCATACTAGTCTAGTGCTATCAAATCATTTTATGTGATAAAAAAATTTTATCTTCATGTATATTTCCAATGTAAGTCCAGTAAGATATGCTTCCATGAGATGTAAGTGTAAATATCTGCATATAGGAAAATATGGAAATATGTTTGTATTTTAAATCTGTTCCATTATAATATATGATTTTTGTAATTTTCAATCTAACACTTAAAAGACCTGATAAGATCGTCAAGATTTATTTCTTTTTCTTGCAAACAATATTACAAGGAATCTATTTCTATTTACCATAGAGTATTTGTGGTAGAATCAAAAGCACTAGTTAGGAATAGAGCTAGCCAAGTAGTCACCTCACAGCATTTCATCCCCTTATGATGGAAAGGAGGGAAATGAAAACAAATAAATTAAAAAAAAAATTCTGAGGATTTACTTGGGCCATGTGCAAAAATTACTTCAGCCATCAGATGGAGCTAATAAAAAAGAGATGTATTCTCTTTCAAAGACTAATCCTCAAAAATAATCTTATTTCTTTCAAATCTCTTGGTTTAGGAAGATGAACTGATCATTGGGTTCCATGTTAAGCAATATTAAATAGGAACTGATACTTTCAAAAAAACTTAAACTATATTCTTATGAGATAAAAATATAATAGAGGTAAACACACTCTATAGGTGCAGTGTTCCACAAAAACCTCTTTTTCAATATCTCTGGTATCATTGCTGTAATAACAGGATCTTATTTTAAAAGTTATTTTGAATACCATTTTAAACTCCAATACTTTCTGGACTGATATGCTGAATAGAAAAAAATAGATCAGTTCTTACAAGATTAGAAATGTTTGTGCAAGGATAATTTGGGGCCTAAATTTTGGATATTGCCAGGCTCTGAGGACATCAGATATTTTCTGGGACATAAAGACAAAACCTTGAATCTTCCCATGTTGCATTATTATGTTCTCCACTGATTTCTTTTCTGCTCTATTTGATCACCATTTTATGTTCCTGAACTTGAACTGTTGAAACAATGGTATTTGTTGTGCCCTTACTTTACATTAAGTCTCCCAAAGAACATCTCTCTAGTGAATTCAAGTGTGGAATCTGGAGCTCTTGTCTGATTTGACCTCTTCTGCGAGAAAAAGAGCATAGGAGTCCTGTGAATAATGTTTGTTGTTAAATAAAATATTGTGTTCTTGCTACTTAACCCTTCCCAAATCCTAAAATATCATTAGGTTTTTGCAAAAAATCAGTAAAATATAGTGCATGTTTATTAAGAAAGAAAGATTACTTATTTTCGAAGATAAAGCTGTGTTTATTTCTGTATAATGTCCCAATGTTCAAAATTTTCTGAAGATCTTGGCTAAACAGTAGCTTCTATGGTCACAAGTAACATTCCTCCACTTTGATAATATTCCTAATAATTGCAATTATATCTTTTTTACTATAATTAACATTTATATTGAATACTAAGTAATATTTTTTTAAAAAAAAGCATAGTTTTACAACGAGACATTTTGTATATTTCTTCTCATAATTTTACTCTTCTGTAATACTTTACAGAACTCTAAATTTCGAGATGTATTAGACTTTGGAGTACTCCTAAGATTCTTACAATATGCCATCCATTTTAAGAATTTTTATTGTAAACAAGTAAACTCCCATCAAAACATTTGTCATCATTTCATTCCTTCTTATGTTTATGCATTAGAAGATAAATTTTGGAGTTCTGCTTACATAATGACAGTTCTGCCGTCATCAATGAGACATGGTTCGGCAGGTAAAGATGCTTAATGTACAAGACTGGAGACTGGAGCTCAGACACTGGAACTGAGAAAGTTGGAGAGAGAACTGGCTCCACAAAGTTGTCCTGAGACCTCTCTCTCTCTCTCTCTCTCTCTCTCTCTCTCTCTCTCTCACACACACACACACACACACACACACACACACACACACATACACACACAAAATAGTAAATAACAATTATAAAATAAATATGTATGCATGTGAATGTGGAGACAGCATATGAGAATGAAAGAATAGCTCATTATTGTCCTCTGACTGGTAAAAATTATTTTTGAAATTTGATTATGTTTTGTGGTAACAAAAAAGAGTATAATGTATTTATGAAAGTGAAATACTTTTTGATGACTTCCTTTACTTCTAAGTGTTACATTTAGGAACCTTTCTTTCCATAGCATATTCTGATAGTGATAGTGATTTGAGAGATAGCAAACTCTCCTGGAACTTGTTAGAAGTCCAGAATCTGAGGTATGAGGTTTTAACACATGAAATCTAAGTTTCCGGTTTTTGCTTTCTTTTGTTTATTTATTCCCTGGTCTTTAATATGCATATTACAATTTGATCTAGTTTCTAAGCAGTGATAAAGTGCTTCTGTATTTTTTTTTTGATCTTATGTGTATGACTGTTTGCCTGAATGCAGTCTGTGTATCCGTGCACCTGGAGGCCAGAAGAGAGTTACGTATCTCCCGGGACAGATAGCTGTGAGCTGCTATGTGGGTGCTGGGACTTGAGTCCCACTGAAAGAGCAACCACCAGTCTTCTTAACTGCTGAGCCATCTCTTCAAGCCTTCTTTTTATAGACTGTTGCAAACAAATGCAAACTTAGGAAAGGACACACACACAAAAAAAAAAAAGGAAATAAAAAAGGACTTCAGGGAACCCAGTGGCAGTGTGGCAGCGGGAGAAATAAAAAGGATGGGAGATGCCAAGGTGTGAAGAAGTCCCTGTTCTGTGGCTCTGCTCTCTTATTCCAACACTGGAAGGGGTTAAAGAGGAATGGAGCTGCTTGCTTCCTCATTATTTCAGTTCTTTGTCATTTGCTAGCAAGGGTAAAATTTCCCTTCTTTGAGAAATCCCTGAGGTGATGCGGTTTTGAGTCAGAATAAAACACGTGGAGTTCACAAAATTACAGAGCTGAAACAGACCTTAAACTTCTCTCCTTTGAGCTTTGTCGGGACAGACCTGAATCACAAAGATTACCCTGCTAGGAGCAGAGCTAGGGTTTAGGTCCTAATAAAGTTTTCAAAGAAAGCTAGTTACTAGTCCAATTGTGAATCTCACAGTGTGAAGTGTTGAAATATTCCATCGCCTTGTCTGCCACGCTCCTTTCAGTCTGTGAAAAGAAAGAGTCATCGATAGGAACATGTAGAATCTTCAGAACAGGCAGAACACCGCATGCCTCTAAGCATGGAGTCTCTCTTGCTGGTTTGGTTTGTTATCTGCTTGGGTGAACAAAGGGAAAAAAGGAGAGAAAGCTAATGGGTGGCTGTGATTTCTCTGTTTGCTTTAGACGTTCTTACAAAACAATAATTGTCAGTCTCTATGTTCTTAATAAAGCTGTGTCAATGGTGCATCAAGGTATCTGACACTAAAGCCAGACGTTTCCTCTGATATTAATTTGCCTACTGAGGTCATTGAAATACCACAAATAAATAGATGCTTTCAGTGATGGGGATTCAATAAACAGGGCAGACAGTGGGACCCTGTTACAAACAAGCAAATGCTAACTAACAGTCACTTGCAGTATCAGATTGTAACCCCATATGTCTCCTATCCTTGATGATAAGAAAGTACATCTGCAATAAATATTATCTGTTTAAAATGCTAAATAGCCATACAACTACTCTATCACAATAATGGCTTAGAACTTTAGGTAAATGTCTTCATAAGATAATTAATATAAAAGTTCTGTTCTTATTGAATGGAACTAAATATGGATTGGTGAAAAATGCTTATCTCTGGCTAAAGGATTGCAGTATCTTGCGGTATGATTGAGCATCCTTCGTGTAAATATCTAAAAGTGGTATTGCTGGTCTGGAGGTAGGTTATTTCCTAATTTTCTGAGAAAGCATGTGCTCAGCTATGCTTATAGTAACCTTTGTAAAAATCAGAAACTGGAAACAATGTAAATATCCCTTGGCCGAAGATAAAAATAAAGAACAAGTGGTATATTTACACAATGGAGTACTACACAACAGAAGAAAATAATGACATCTTGAAATTTGCAGGCAAATGGATGGATCTAGAAAACATCATGTTGAGTGAGGTAACCCAGACCCAAAAAGACAAATATAATATTACTCACTCAAAAGTAGCGTTTAGACATAAAGCAAAGAAAAACAAACCTACAATTTCACAACCCCAGAGAGCCTAGACAACAAAGAAGACTGTAAGACAGACATACATGGATGTAATCTACATGAGAAGTAGAAAAAGACAAGATCTCCCAAGTAAATTAGGAGTGTGGGGATCATGAGTGAGCATAGAAGGGGAAAGGAGAAGGGAGGACCGCAGAGAAAAATATATAGCTCAATAAAAACAAAACGAAACGAAAAAGAGTTGCAGTACCTTCTGACTCTCCTAAGTAGCTTTGTAAAATATATTTTAATTAAAATATAATTACACCACTTGTCCCTTCCCTCTCTCCAACCACTTCCATGCTTCCCCCTCCAAATTTTATCACCTTCTCTCTTTCAAATTGGCAATTGATTATTATCTTTACATAATAGAGATACAGTGCACACATACAGAAATACAACTTTCTGAGCACACAAACGTCAGTGTTTCTTAAACAACGCAACATAAATATTATTTGCACTCTGTTATGGCTGGCATCTCTAGTTTGATTTGATGAGATCATAAGTGCTTTTATAAGCAACACAGGATACATTTGATATAGAACACTAATAGTATTATTCTGATGTTTTAGAATATCTCTTTCCAGCAAGTTCAAACAAAAAGAAAGCAACAAATTTCACATCATTAGATAACTTTGTATTTTTTATTAAAGTTCATGTTTCACCCATTTTATTTCACTTGTGTTTGTTTTTATAATCTCAACATC